GTTGATAGTGTCAGTGTTCGGTGGCTTCGGCGTGGGGAAATGCAAGATACGCACGCGACAAATTTCCTTTTCTGTGAACATCGGCCTTCCTGTTCTTGTTCAGATGAAGGATCACGTCTTTTTCGCGCCATTTTCGTAAGCAACAAACTTGTAAAGGCGGGAAATGATGTTCCGAATGCAGTCGGGAGCTTGGGGATCTCTACCGAGGGTTCGGCGGCTGACGGTCTTCGCCGAACCTGACTAATGGAGATATCCCGAGGTCGGCGCAGGACATTCATCCAGATATTTGCTTACTATGGAGTCAATTTTATGCAAATATTCTTGCTTTGTGGAATCATAGTCAACAATCTATTCTCTATTGTTTCGAAATCATAAGTCATGTCTATCTCAATCTATAAATGAACTCTTATGTCGATTCATGCGAGGATGCAAAGCTGCAAATGCCAGTCAAAAATGCGTGTCGTTAAGCTTTTGTGTCGAGGTTGAATTTTCTCTCAGACCATCGCTGCATATCAATGCCCCATTTTGTGATGATGAGAACCAAGCATCCGCTAATTATGGCGAAGAAAACACCTAGGATAGTTAGACAAACGTGTTATAAATATGATCTTAGCGAGAAAGACAGAAAGACTTACAGATTGTGAATGTCCATCCGACGCCAATAACACCGATTAATGGCTCAACTGCAGCCGTCGCACCGGCCGCAAAGATATACTGCACGATGTACTTGCAGCTGATGACTTCTGAGCGGTGTTGCGGGATCATCTCTACGAGTTTGTTAGTAAACCATTCGAAACCCAAACAGTTGGATCCTTGAATGATTGACTCACCAGCTGAGTATGTGTTCAACCCATTGAAAGCACCCAAAAGTCCCATACCCGCGAAGAAAGCGCTGATAATCGGCACAACCATTCCGCCCACCTCTTCCTCCAGAGTCCAACAATAGATCAGAGTGGCAGCTGGGAGAACGCCAAATAGTGTCGCGAGACCGCTGTTGAGCCTATCCTGAGGGAGACGCACACCGTTGCGTTTAATGATCCATCTCTTAACAGCTCGGTCGGATAGCTTGCCTCCAACAACACTGCCGATCAAGAAGCCTATACCCGGCGAAAGGTAAAATAGACCACTGGCGAGTGGAGATGTGAGGTTGAATCGTGGGTTGAAGATTGAGCGGACAGAGGTGAGGAGGGCGTATTGGAATGTAGCCAGTAGACCACATGTGAAGCACTGGTATTTGTTAGTAGTTGGAGCCGGTAGAGCAGTAGAGCAGATGAAGTATACTCACTGCAAGAAACACATTCGGGTAAATGAAATGACGAAAGATGCGCAAAGGATTAAACAGGACGACAACAGTACAGAATCCCCGGCGCTTGTCGAGGTCCATAACTTGCTTCTTTTCTTGGATACTTGGCACAAACAGCAAAGACAAGATCAGACCGAGCAAGGTCATACCGAATTGCAGCCAGTAGATAATGCGCCACTGCGCAAAAGTGACGATAATACCACCGATACAGGGTCCTAGTCAACAACAGTTAGCATCTGCCAACTCTCCAGCAATATAGATGCAACATACCAATAGCAGGACCGCTAACAGAGCCAACCATAAAACAGCCAACAGCCGTTCCACGTACAGTCTATATAGATCGTCAACAACAATATAATCCAAAATCCAAATCAAGAAACACAAACCGGCTCGAAGATATCAGCAATAATAGTCTGCCCAGCAACCATAAAGAAGGTGCCCGTAAACCCACTCAAAATCCGCATCGCAATAAACATATGCAAATTAATCGACACGGCCGTCCCAGCCGAGCAAGCACAAAGCACAAGAATGGCGGCATTATAAGCATTCTTGCGTCCAAATAGGTTGGCAATAGGACCCCAAATACATCCTGAAAAGCCCATGGCAATCAACACGCCCGCATTAGTGATATTCAGGATCTCCGACGTCGTCGAGAACTCGGTTGCGATCTCTGGTGTTGCAGGTAATAGAGAAGTACTGGAGAAAGTCACGGCGAGGGTCATCCAGCTGACGACGAATAGGATGAGGCATTTGCGCCATGTTTGGATGCCATAGGAATTTGAGGGCTGGGGCTTGAGGGCTAGTTCGTCTTCTTCTGAGTCGTGGGGGAGTCGAGTTGCGGGGCGGGTTGTTGTTTTTGGGATTCGAGATCTTGGTCCGTTTGCATGGTGGGGTATTTTTAGAGAATTTTTGATGAGGATAGGTGTTTTATTAATGATAGTCGCATGTCTATTATCGGTGAAGTAGTTAACAGGATTGAGAATGCAGGATTTGGTGGTTCTTTTGTATGAAGGGACCCTCGGCGACTTGGACATGTAGCCGAAGCTCGGTTTTTCGCCCGTGAGACTTTTTTGCTCCGATGTGGATCGGTTTGACGTTCCGGTCGGCGTGCGTGACCGATCAATTAGTCGGGTTGCACTTGTAGTCTTGAGTCCTTTAGCGGTCTTGAATACCAAATTAGGATTTATGATGGATTTATACGGGACTTGACAATGGGACGGTTAGCGGGTGGCTGAAAACGGTTACCGCATACCAAACTGCTTCCTGATGTACAATATATTTCAGAATCAGGACTTGAATTTGGGTCTTATTTATCATTGATGTATTCAATATCTAGTCGAGATTCTCGAGGAGAAACCGTCGACTTAGATCACTCTGGATCCATCGTTCAATCAGAGACACAGTATCTCCGACAAGATGGTCGTAGTTTGCACCTTGTGGAATAAACATAGACTGATGTGCTGTCACTTCGTCCATGCCCTCCATTAATATTGGGTACCAGTGAGCATTTCTCTCGTACTTCCAATGATGCGAGGGCAAGAGAATGAACTTGCGAAGTTGATCTTTCGATGTGTCTGAAGACCCCGAGGACATTGAGGTTGTGATGGACATGCTTTCTGACATGGATTGAGCCCCCTTTTTGTCTGTTGAGGTGGATGATGCAATGCTTCTGGTATCTAATGGGTGCTCCTTTTCAATGTTGGTCTTCTCGTCGTTGGTATTTTCATCATTGGTCCCTCCGACCAGAGTAGAATTCGAAGGAGTGGGTTTCAGTTCTTGTCCTTCAAGTGATGACTCGCTCGTTGATTTCACTGTTTTATCTTCTTCGGAAACACTTGGTGTCTCTGAAGGTTCTTCTGAAGGGGTCGGGGTTGAATCTTTGTCCTCAACGTCTTCTGATTTCTTTGAAGACTTGGTTTTCTTTTTCTTTGGTGGCTTTGGTGGGCGGCCAGTACTTGCGGTGTAGTAATTAACGAACCGAACCCTCTTAGGACTAGACTCAGCAGCCTCCAAATCTGCCAGGTGTCGGTACCGCCGACGAAGTTCGGGGTAATTATTGACACAACCTGCATGTTTAAAGGACGACACGACACGGTCAAATATTGATCGTGAGAGGTTGTCGGTGTTCTTGTTGACAAAATGCATTAGGCCCTTGAAGAATCCTCGTTCAACCAGGCGTACATCGTTCATGAACGGAGGGTCGAAATTCGGACTTGAAGTGCCGGGTTTGAAGGCGGGTTCCATGCCAAGCGATTCTTGCGCTCCCGCTAGCTTGTCTTCGGCGGCTGGGTCTTTCTTTGCGACTGAGCCACTGGTACCAGTTGGAATCACACGGGGGTGTAGCCCCAAAAAGGGGACGTCGAAGTTGACTAGTCCCAGAATGCGATGTTTTGGTTGGTGGTCTCTTGCTTGTAAAAGGGCAACATCGGCTGCCAGGATTCCGCCAAGACTATGTCCCAGTAGGATGACATCCAGGTCATCCGCCTCATGTGGTGACAGCCTGCGATTATCAGCCCATGCACCCTCATCTTTATGACGTGATCACATACCAAGCACTGAATTGTTCCGCTGCAACATGCATCTCACCGTAAGACTTGTATCGAGGATATATGCGAGTGTACACCTCATGGGATTCGCTCAGTAATCCAGTCAACAGATCATGGACGTGTGCCGGCAGGTCATGGAAACTAGCCTCGGAGCCCATGAAGCCATGGATGTATATCAGTAATAGTCGACGCTTGTCAGTGCCCGATTTGGACCGAGACAGGGACAGCTTGGATAGAGAGTGGGCGGTATCATTGCAGATCTCGCCCTCCATTGCGATGCGACATTGACAGAAGTCGTCAAGGTAGAGTTAAGTTGACAGGACCAGGTTCCTTTGGCACAGCCACCATGCAGGGCGGGGATGGAGACTCCCGAGGTCTGCACGGCCCGCTTGCTTATTAACGTCAGGGCGGATGTTGAGATGCTCTCCACGATGAGTTTGAATGGTTGAGGGTGAGTTGGAGAGAAAGTCGGGGAAATCAGCTTATAATAAAATCACTTCTCCCTTCTTTTGTCTTAAGCCCAAACTTCGTCACGTGTAGACAGTGAGCATGAGATTCAACTGCAGTTGATATGCTGACTTGAAAGACATCACTCCTGAACGTTGTATCGAAATCACTTTCCAGGTCTCGGAGGTGAAATAGTGAGATCTGCACTGCCTATATAGGCAATCAGGATACCATGCTTGTTCTTGATGAATGACACCTGTATTATCAGGCCATATTTTGCGGACTCCCACAACTACTCCACCAGCGGAAATCGATCTACACTGACAATTCTTGCAACCATTCAAACAAAAGGCAATGCTATACCATCAATCCTGTCATTATGTTCCAACTGATCCCAATACTCTTTATAAATTTACTCTACCCAGCATGAAACCAATCCCACAACCAGGCGAGGCCTCTACAGTTACAGTAAAAGGCCAGCTAAGCTGACGCGTCCCCATGCGAGCTTTCCCCAGCTCGTACAAAAAGCTCGGCAAAAGAGCTTAGCGAAACTAAAGCTTTGAATGTGGCCCGCCAAGCCATGATACAGTCCAGGGCTGAAAAAAAACAAGCTCCCGAAAAAAAGGGATAGCCAAGATAATCTGTCAACACTGGCCATAGTTATCAATCTTGCCGTGGATGCCCAATAGCTCCCTCAGTGCACAATGGATACCAAAGCAGCACCAGATGTCGAAAAAACTATTTCCTCTGCGAGGCCGTCCCCGGTGGACAGTCGCGATGCAGCACTTGCTCATGTCGTCTTAATCCCCCAGCCTAGTACCCACCCCCGGGATCCTCTGGTATACCATCAAACCTGATATACTGTACGCTTTTCAGATCCAGACTGACTGATCCCTCTAGAACTGGTCTCAACACCACAAACATATTATCCTAGCCGTGTTATGCCTCGCCTCTTTCGCCGGCGCTATCGCGCCCTTGTCGGGACAGCTCAATCTAGCCGATCAAGAGAGGCTATACAGCAAAACAAAGATTGAAGAGTCATATGCGGTACATCGCAGTCATCAATCCCAACCCAATGGTCCACATCTAACAAATCCCAGAACTCAGCCGCCCTAGCGGGTATGGCCGCCGGCCCATTCTTCTTCGCCCCAATTGCACACAGGCTAGGCCGCAGCTCTGTAATCTTCTGGTGTGTGTTTTGCACAACAGTATGTCAAATCTGGGGTGCGGTGATGACCCACCCTGAGGACTACATTCCCTACGTGATGTCGCGCCTCTTCGCCGGTTTCTTCGGGGCCGTGCCTACAGTGCTTGGACCGCGTATCGTCACCGACCTATTCTTCCTGCATCAGCGCGGTCGTGCATTTACTGCTCTGCATATGTCTTTCTTATTCGGGACCATTGCCGGTCCTACGTTCTCTGGATTCGTCTCCGCGCACTCTTTCTTCCCGGTTGAGTTCTGGTGGACGGTTGGATTGCTAGGATTCACGCTCCTTTGCTGTTTCTTCTTCCTCGAAGAGACGGGGTTTGATCGTGTATGCCCTGGAAAGAATCCCGATATCCCGAGCGGGAGAATCGCGAATCGAATTGCGACGTTCTTACCTGGCAATCGAGTTGTAGGGCCGACGACATGGAAAGAAACGGTACGTTCAACCCCAAATATGCCCTCAATATCCCATCGCTTGCCAAACTAAATCCAATCTAACATTTACCCTAACAGGCCAAAATTGGAATAACCCCAATTCTAATAGGCCTCTGCCCAGCAACAATAATAATGGGCGTATTCACCCTGATATCCTTTGGCTTCTACGTGGGCGTAAATGCCTTAACACCAGTGTGGCTCCAAAAGCCCGTCAGCGCCGGCGGGTACGGCTTCACGCTCGAACAAAATGCAGCCTTCACATTCAGCCACTGGCTAGGGATCCTCTTCGTTCAATTCTACGGCCACTACCTCAACGACCGACTGCCACTATACCTAGCCCGACGATTCAACAACGGAGTCTGGAAACCTGAGTATAGACTGCACGTGTTGTGGATACCCAGTCTAGTGCTGAATCCAATTGGACTGGGGATCTTTGGGGCGGCGTTGCAGTACGGTTTGCATTATATGGTTTTGGCCTTGGGGGTGTTTGTTGTTACTGTTGGGTCGTTGGGAAGTGTGCCTGTTACCGTTAATTATGTTGTTGAGTGTTTCAAGGGTTTCCCTGCGGAGGTGGGGATTGTTGTCGGTGCCTATCGTATTGTTTATGGGCTGACTATTGGGTTCTATATTGATGGGTGGGTTGAGGCTGTTGGGGTTGGTTGGGTTTATGGAATGATGGCCTTTTTTGCAGTTTTTTCGTTCTTTTTCGTTATGCTGCTTATGTGGAAGGGGGAGATTATTCGGGGGTTAGGTTTGGGGATCTGGGCTCTAGTGAGGAGGGTGAACGGTTGGTTGGGGAGTAGAGTAGGGCTTGCGTAGGTGGATGGAGGGGAAGGTACATGGATGATCTTTGGGGCACTGTTTATATTTCGGGGACTTTACATAGTATAGTCATAATGCTAATATCGGATACCTCGGTTATGTAGCGGGTTTTATGAAATATGAAGTATATATCATCGGCGAGAAATCATGGTCTGGACTAGTCGTCATGATTACAACTGGGTTTTATGTGATGGGTAGATGGGACAAACAATGTGTGTCAAAACCTAGGCCCTGATAGCTCCGAAGCTCTCCTCGCTTTACTGAATATTCCTGGTTCTGATATAACGCAAGACTAGAGCCAGAAGGCAACCGCTATGACGGCCCCGACAAATTCTCGGCATACCGAGCTTGATCTACCGCTGGGCGCCGTTTTCGCCGATGTGGGGAATATCTAAATCTATAAACTGATCATGGACTAGTGAGGGTAGAGTGCCAGATGACAGTTCAGTATATAACAGGGTTTATAAATGCATATAAGTTACAGTGCCACTGATGAAGTACAACATACTATCTCATACATTGTGTTCGCGCTACTTTGGCCTCTCTGTTTTCGCCTTTTTTTTTGCCTATTTCGAGTGCCTCGGATTGTAGTTCTTTTAAACTAGTGGATTGGCCATGTAGACTATATAAACGTTGGGGGTGTGAAGGGACTTATGCGCTATGACTGTATGTACAGGTTTACACGTGGGAATAAAGATTGATAATATCAACGGTAGGATTTTGAAGTAGTAAGGGGAGAAAAATGAACACCTGCTAAAGCTGTTTAAAATAGAATTATGTACGACAATGTTACAAAAAAGAAAACACATCCAAGAAATGGCGTTGTGGGAGCAAAAGGGCTCAACCGACAACAGTCTAAACCAAGTAATATAAATCAAGCTATCAAGACAATCTTACAGCATGATCATGAAGACACCGGAAGCAATGGCAGCAACGGCGTAAGCACCGGCCTGCCAGCTGCCAATGTGAACAGACTGGGGAACAGTGCCGACAGCGATACCAGAGGAGGTAGCACCGCTGCTGGAGCCAGAGCCGGAGGCGGCAGCACCAGAGGAAGCAGCAAGACCACCAGAGACGGCACCAGTACCGGCGGAGCCAGCAGCGCTCATCTGGGTAGCGCAGGAACCGCTAGCGGTGGTGGTCTTCTGGGTAGAGGCAGCACCGTTGAAGCCACAAGCGGAGGCACCGGCCTTGGACTTGTTCTTCTTGTAGTACTGGTTCATAGCCCAGGCGAGACGCTGCTTGGTGGAGCACATAGAATAAGCGCCGTAGACACCGGTGGTAGAGTTGGAGTTGACACCGTCCATGACGCCGTCCTCGCCACCGAGGTAGGAGAAGGTGCTGGAGATCAGCTTGGTGGAGATGTCGTCGACGGGGACACACTCCAGGGAGTTGTACATGCACTCGCAGAGGTCGGCGTTGGGCGAGGGGGGGAGCTTAGAGGCGGCGCTCCAGTCGGAGCCGACGGTGGGGCAGCTGCGGCCGACGGTGGTTGAGACGGAGTACTCGCTCATGGCCACGCCGGTGGGGGTGGCAGACTGCATCTGCTTGGAGAGGTTGCTGAAGTCGGGGAGGGTGCTGACGGAGCTGCCGTCGGCTGAAACAAGACCGTACTTGTTGGCTTCCTCGTAGTACATGTAGACGATACCGCCGGACCAGACGTCATTCATCTTGTCGGAGTAGAGGACGGGGACGTCGGTGAACTTGCGGGGACGCACGTCGTTGCAACCGTACTCGGAGAAGAAGGCGGGCACGGGGTAGTCCTTGAACTCCTCGGTACGCTCGGAGTAGCCGGATGTGGTGAAGCTGGAGTCACCGCACCACTCGTAGATGTTGTAACCGAAGAAGTCGATGGAGTCGGAGGCATCATCGCAGACAAGGTAGTTGGAGACGGCCTCACGGACGGTCTGGTCGTCGTCGGTGGCGTAACCGACGGCGAGGGAAGAACGGTAGTTCTTCTGCTTGATGTATGACTTCATATCACGGACGGCGGCCTTGACGTAGGCCATGGAGTTGGTGTTGGAAACCTTGTTGGAAACCTCATTTCCGGCGAAGAAACCAATGACATTGGGGTACTTGGCGAAAGCATCGACGACCTGGGAATAGCGAGTGAATAGGTCGGCGTTCCAGGTAGGGTTATCGGACACAATGGACTCGGTGGGCGAAGACAGATCGGTGATGAGGTAGATACCGGCATCGGCGAGAGCGGTCATACACTCGTCGTGGTCCTTGCTGGGGTCGACAGCGTAGGTACGGACGACGTTGGTGCGGAGCTCGGTCAGGTATGGGATATCACGCTTGCAGCTTTCGACGTCGGCGAGAGGGTCGGTGTACTGGGCATCACCGCTGGCACCGTTGCGGGCGGTGTAATCAGGCTGGTAGGCAACACCACGAATGTAGAACTCGGTGCCATTGTTGGCATAGAAGAACTTCTTGCCCTTAATCTCAATGTTGGGGACATCGGCGGCCATGGCCGCTCCCACGATGGAGAGACCAGCAATGATAGATGCCTTCATTGTGTAGTAAAGAATGACAGATACACAGAAGCGAATGTATGAAGAATGAAAGAGAATTGGGGCATGCGGGAGAAGAAAAGGGCTGGAAGGGGTCGCAGTGGAGTAGGGGGTGTACGCATCACCGGGCTGTGCGGAAGTTACAGTACAGTCTATTGGTGTTTATTCGCGTTGTATATTTGTGTATGTTCCTTTTCCAGGTACAGCAAATCATAGTCAATGATTGGTGTTGATAGTAAAGAATAGATTCGATGTACCAAGTCATTGGTCCCTGTTGACCCTGAGTCTCCACTGGTAATTTTCCCTTGTGGGTCATTTCACTGTTTTTGCCACTTCACACTACAAACCCCCTGAAACATGGTACTCGCTAGTAAATGGACATTGGGGTCCTTCCAGACCCTGGACCCTGATAGGGTGTGGTGGAACTATTCCTTTCTCAATTTCGGGACATCCCTTTTTTCCCTTTTTCCTGTTACATGTTCAGTCTGGAATGTGAATCAAAACGATGTTGACCTGAAGTGCGTCACGTCCAAAGCTTGTCTCTCGCCAAGGGATGATCAATGCTTGCCATGATGTCGTTCGGTATGCCTATGTCTGGGCAGCCTGGGCAGTCTGGGCAGTCTCCATTCCTGAAAAAAATGTGATCAGGCACATGGCTACTCCTCAAAGTTATGTTCGACAGTACTCCGTAGATTATATAATATAACGACTATTGAGAATGTTTCACGATGTCGCTTACATGTACTTTGACTGATAGTCCGTGCTCTACACCTACACCTAGGCCAGTGGGTATTGCGGGCCAAAGTTACAGTCCCCTTTATATCTAATTCATGGCTCTGGGTCCTATCCGAAACATCGAAAACTGTTACCTATGCCGTCCAAAAAAGAACACCTTTTGCGCTATGAAATTACGCTCATATATAAGGATTGACATTGAAATTTACAGTAACTTCAATCTTCACCTTTCCATGGATCTTCCAAGCGACTGCACATGTATCCATCGATCAAGGTGGGTCGAAACTATCGACACGGAACATCAAATTTACAGGGGCGATCAGACGGCACAGCAGGCAACGTTGATACATTACATGTACATCTCCCCTTGGTCCAGCAAATATCTACATGTACACACGGCCCGTCTTTTACCGCCGAGCTCTATCTCGTACATGCACACCCAGGGTATGGATTTAACCAAGCTACAAAAATAGTATTTCCATACTCCATACTCTAGTCCAGAAGGTCTGTAAATGTGGTTGCCCCTGACTATCAATCACGTCAGAAGCGGGTCCGCCTCTCTCGGGAAAGCATATTGGTTCCCCCAAGGGGGCTAAGCAGGGCCAACAGTACTCTTCCCTCATGCTTTTTTTTACCAAGCTTTGTGGCGGCGGGATGTAGCTTGTTTATGGAGTCGGTGTGGGTTCTTCGCTTGTTCGCTCTTTCGCTTCTAGGGTACTCCGTTGTATGCGCCATTTTTCTGGGCTATGGGGCTGCGTGTGAACTTTGGCCTACTGGCTTACTTTTGTGTACATGTACTGTTCCTCGTGGAAAGAGATGGGCCACATTTGTTTTGACGATCGCGATCGGAAGAATTTAGTACATGGATATCTCTAGGGCTGCCATTGCAACAAGTATCGAATTGCATGGGTATATAAGATGAAGTTTACACTAGAAACCAGAAGCCAAAGGTAGTAAAACATTGGCCGTTTTGCAGCAATGGGATGCATGTGCAGGGATTTTAATGTTTGAGTGGTCGTGGCTAAGAGCACTTGCTTTCCTCTGACGGGTAACTCTACTCACTATACTAGATCCGATCAACAGATAAACCTGTAGAACTGAGGTACAATTGAAAACATACTGTAGGATTGGGAATTCCGGCGCTTATCGTGCATACCTTACGCGTTCACACTTTGATTACAGCAGCATCTTCGTTACGTGTTAGGTAGGCTTACACTACATCGAACGCCACGAACATCTTATTCAATGGCATTGACAAGACTTCGAGATTCTAAGCCAACACTGGACACATATAATTCTGAGTCGATCATTTTCAGGCTTGAGGTCACATTGCTCTGTCTTGATCTATCCTTGAGTGGGCTGTGGCAGATCGGTAGGGCGGTGGTAGAGCCATCAGATACTACGGTGAGGAGAGTAACAACCAGCAATATTCACCCGGAAAACAGCCTATGTCAATCATATGTATATATAGTTTGAGGTAAATATAGGTGCTGTTTACGTTTTCAGCTTGTTAATACTCAAACGCATATAAAAAATAGTAACAATACACCCTGGGGTCATTATATATCAATGAAAGAAGAGCACCAATTCCCCAAACGCTAAAAGCTACCATCGTGACATAACCTGTATTGATTTTTGGATTGCCAAAATATCCTCTCATCAGTTTATTGTCCCTTGGAGTGGGATAATTGATGCTATGTTTGAAGGTTAACAGTATGCTTATTCTTGGTTCGTATAGACCCCGGTACA